ACCTGCAAGGTTGGAGCACGGGCAGTCGCAGGACAGTGTGAGTGTTGACTCTACACAGCAAATTCAGAGGTACCAGTCCTCCCCAGGGACTGGTGGATTTGCCTGTTTATTTCACATGGCTCAAGAGCAAGCTGCAGACCAAGGGGAGGGGAGGGAGGGTGACAGGAGTGGTTTAACACCACCACAGACCTGTGCAAGACCAGCCTGGTGCAGAGAGCCAGGACTCTGAAGACTGGCAGATTTGTGGCTGGCAAGTTCAGTTGAGGCTAGGGAAGCAGCTGGGGGACAGCAAAATGCCTGCAATGACCTGATCTGTGCCAGAGGGTATGAATGTGGATTTGCGCTTTCGCGTACAGTTTTGCCTCCACATTTCCCATCTTTTGATGCTTCAATCAAGGCAGGAAGAGGAAGGGATTATCTGTTTTCACAAGCACCGTAGTTTGTCACACAGACTGGTAGTCCTGCTCCCAGAGAGGTGTGTGCCAACTAGGCAAGTTGTCTCCAAATGTGCTTCAAGTCAGGGAGTGAAGGACAAGCTTGCAAGTTTGTCAGACAAAACTGGAAGTGCCCTGATACCATGCTCGGGTGGTGGTGCTGTATCTTCCCCAGCTGCCCATGTTGATCCCTCAGATAAACCTGGGCTCAGGGCTGCATCCATGACTGCAGGGAGGGATATTTGGGTCTCTGGATACTGCTTTGCAGTAGCATTGCCAGATAGGGGAAAGAGAGAGACACTCACAGTGCAGGCTCACTGAGAGCTTTGACTCATACATAGATCCAAAGACTGGTGTTGTCAGGTCTACAGTGACAGCTGTCCCATCAGTGCCAGGAGAGAGGTCCAGTGGCAGGATCCACTCCTAGGTCCAGTTGTCCCTTGGACAAAATTTTCTCAAGATTTTGAAAGCTATGTCAGGGACTGGCAATGGTGAGATGTCCCCAAGGTTGTGGGTGTTCCCCTACCAAGCAGCTCCAGTGACACTTGAGGAGTCTGTGACACTGGAGATGCTCATGTTGCTGAACACCCAGTTGAACTCTTCCAGGTCCTTGTTTAAAAACTGGATGCATCAGTGGAGGTGGTCCAGGGCTAGATGAACTGAAATGTGGAGTGAAAGGGGAGGGAAGCAGTACCTGGCACACTGTAAAGTGTCCAGCTTCAATAGGTCATGCAACTGAGACTGGCCAGAAAGTTTATCCTAGTTGCACAGGTTAATTGGTAACAAAGGGGAGGCAGCTTTGGCCACATCTGCTAGGGAGCTCTGATGAAGAAGACATCACCGCACTGCTGGTGGTGGTGGGGCACAGGGAGCCCATTGCCATCGTGGATGAGACTCTGCCTCTCAGCACCTCTTCTTCAGAGCATAGATAACTCGAAACTAGGCAGAGGGGTCTGTAATTTCCATGTTTTTAACCATTTACAAAGTCTTCCCATGGGATAATAAAATCACTTCCTTGGGATTTAAAGTCACACACAAGAGACAAATCTCTTACAGAGAGTTCATTCACAAGAGCTGTAAGCACAAGCTCTGTAAGGTTTTAATGCCCATCTATTTTCCATGAAACACCTCTAAAGACTCTGGGGCAGAGTGACTCTTTCTTGTACAAGTGCTCCCTTTAAGGTAGAAGATGGAGAATGAAGAAACATTCACAGTACCAGCTCTGCAGTATCATATGCAATGTTTTGCTGAGTCAAGAGTCACTTATCAGACCTCGCCAGGCTTTGGAGTGACTGAGTAGATGATGGGTGTGAGAAGCTGAGTTAGCCACGGTCTGAGCATGCACCCAGTTCCCATGGAGCACTGAAACACACAGGGATTTCTACCCTTTCTTACATGTTTCGTATCACCTGCAAGCAGCCCAAAATAGAGAATCATAGAATCATTTAGGCTGGAAAAGACCCTTAAGATCATGAAATCCAACCACTAACCCAGCACTGCCATGCCCAGCACTAAACCATGTCCCTAAGCACCATATCTACATGTCTTTTAAATACCTTTCAGGGAAGAACTTTCAGGGAAGAACTTTCTCCTGATACTCAACCTAAACCTCCTCCAGAGCAATGTGGGGTCATTTTCTCTTGTTATATCACTTGTTATTGGGGAAAAGAGATGGTCCCCCACCTGTCTAAAATCTACTTTCAGGTAACTGTACAGAGCGATAAGTTCTCCCCTCAGGTTCCTTTTCATCAAGCTAAACACCCACAGCTCCCTCAGCCTCACAGGACTTGTTTTCTAGACCCTTTACCAGCTTCATTGCTCTTCTTTGAACACACTCCAGCACCACAATTTCTACACCTGGGACATGAGAACCCTGGTTGTGTGTACAGATTGGGCAATGAGAGGCTGGAGAGCAGTACCAGGAAAGGGTCCTGGGGGTCCTGGTGGATGGCAGGTTGAATGTGAGTCAGCAGTGCCCTGGCAGCCAGGAGGGCCAACCCTGTCCTGGGGGGCATCAGGCAAAGCATCGCCAGCTGGTCCAGGTAGGGGATTGTCCCACTCTGCTCTGACCTGGGGCAGCCTCACCTTGAATATTGTGTGCAGTTTGGGCACCACAATGTAAGAAAGATACTGAGCTATTAGAGAGCTTAAAGGCCCTTTAAAGGAGGGCCACGAGGATAATGAAGGGTGTGGAGGGGAAGCTGTATGAGGAGTGGCTGAGGTCACTTGGTTTGTTCAGCCTGGAGAAGAGAAGACTGAGGGGAGACCTCAGCAGACCTCAGACCTGAGGGGAGGTCTTCAGCATCCTCACGAGGAGAAGTGGAGGGCCAGGTACAGATCACTTCACTCTCGTGACCAGTGACAGGACTTGAAGAAATGACATGAAGCTGAGTCAGAAGAGGTTTAGGTTGGATATTATAAAAATGTTTTTCACCTGGAAGGTGGTTGGGCACTGGAATGGGCTTCCTGGGAAAGTGGTCACAGCACCAAGTCTGCCAGAGTTCAAGAAGCATTTGGACAATGCTTTCAGGCACATCGTGTGATTCTTGCAGTGTTCTGTGCAGGACCAAGAGTTGGACTTCATGGTCCTGATGTGTCCCTTCCAACTCAGCATAATCTATGATCAAGGTCTGATATGTTTCTCTCCTCCACAACTAAGGCCTTTGCACAGAATAGCATCCTGAAGGATACAGTTTTCAGATGTCTGCATGACCAGGGTGGCCCCAGGGCTCTGCAGCCTCACACAGTGCTGGAACAAGAACACCCCTCCCAGCTTGGGACACCCTGCCTTCACTTACGACTGAGCTACAAGAAACTACTCTTAGTGACTTGAAAGCCTCACATCTCTTTATGCCATCCATGTTCCTGGCCCACCCTCCCGTATCAGAGCATTCCCATATCTGCTCTGCTGCCACCACCCTGCTGCTTCTTTTGGGGCTGTCAGACCTACCCCACCTCTGTGGAGGTACCACCTAATCTGCAGTGGACACAGGGCAGGAGCCCTGGAGTGAGGTGGTAACTCGGGATAAGCAGAAAGGCAGCAGAGATGACCATGGACCCCCAAGGTTACATCTTAAGACACCCACATGCATGAAGTTTCAAGCATTGGAGCTTCCAGGGACCTAGAGACAGATCCTGCTGAGAGAAAAGGATGTACATTAAAAATAAAAAGACTGGCAGAGACTGGAGGCAGGCCAGATTGGCTCATCCCCGAGGAGCTGCTCTGCTTCAGGGCAAGCCTTGAGACTGTTCAAGGAGGTGGGATCATCCCTGCTGTGAAAGGAAGGCAATTCCCAGAGGACCTAGGGGTACAGGAACATTGTCAGGTTCTTCTACCAACCTTTGAGCCACTTTGAATTCATGAGGGGCAGGGAGGGAAGGGATTAGGAGCACAAGCACCTCACCAGTGTAAAAGTAGTTGAGTGTCTTATGGAGAAAAGTGCTGGTAGAAGCTGAATCCCAAATGCCCTGGCACTAAGTGCTTTAGAAGCTGGCTAAAGAGGTGTCTGTGGTCCATCAGAGTTGTTATACACAGTATAATCCAAAGCTTTTCTATGCTATCCTGATGTGAGAAACTTTGAAGGCAGTTTTCAGGGGAAGCCAGGATTGCTACCTCACCTCACATGCACTGACCTAGGGGCCTGGCCATTCCCACAGAACAGGGAACAGGTTCTTGGCATCAAAGCTATTGTACCAAGCAGAAGCTTCCCCTTGGCAGCTGTACTGGCCCTGAAGATGGTCCTGCAGAGGCTGCATGCTGTGCAGGCCTGGGGCTGCCATGGGCAACAGGGAGCTAGGAACAACCACTATAGGAAATCATCCTGTGGGAGCAAGGGACCAGCTGGGTCTCCTCACTGTTTTTACTGGGGCTGCCCATTGCCATCCTGCCTCATGAGAGAAGTGCTTTGCTCACAGCCTCAATCCACTGGACCAACAAGTTATTAGGAAGTCCTCAACATGCACAGACAGGTATGGATTTATTATTCTTTCTGGATTTCCCAGGAAAGTGGTGCAGCCCTTGGACAGGTAACATGTCTTTGGCAGTCCCATCCTTGGGGGTTTCCAAAGAATATGAAAACACAGCCGTCCTGACCTCATGCAGCAGACAGTCCTGCTGCGAGGGGATCTGGAGGATGTCCCTTTCCAGCACTACCAGGGTCCTATGCAAACACCTCTCAGACAGCATACATCCCATTTCAGACCTCTCAAAGGGTCCTCGAGGACTAACAACACCTCCTTGCATCTCATTCTGGAAACTAGCAGCGAGGCAATACTGCATCCTGCCCTGCCATGCAACATCTGTCCACCATAAAGAAGAGCATTTGAGTCACAATTAAGCAGCAGTGAGTGTAAATTTCCCATCCAGAGTGGAATTATTTGCAGTATAAAAGCACTAACATGTTTTGCAATCCACACAGTAGATTCTGGATAGAGACTCTCACACCTTTGCACTCCGATAAGGAGAATATTATTACCCTCCCAGTGGCCTGGACAGATAAGAGGTTTAGGGCGGGCAGTCTGCATTTTTTTCAAGCTCTCATTATGCTGCACCAGTATCTCCAGATGCCTTCTCCTGGGAGCTAAGCTGCTTTCTGTTTAACACCGCAAAGAGCAATGGAGAGTTTAGGCAAAGACCATCCTTCTTCAGATTCTTCCCCGCCACCGTCTGCAGCCCATAAGGAGTACGCTGTGCCAGGTAATGATGAGACCACTCCTAAGTTAAGTTTTTGGAGAGAGGAGAGAATTATCTTTGTCACGAGTGGTTTAGAAAATAGGAGCTACTAATTACTAGTTTATGCTTGGGGGGTGGAGGATGCACATTTAACTGCAAGTATATGTGTCTTTTTACATGTTGTGTTTCAGATCACAAAGGCATGTAAAGGCTTTTCAACTCTTAAGTCCCTCAGGCAGCATCAACAGATTGTTTGCAGACTGAAAATATTGTCTCACTGTTCTTATAGCTTGATTTTTTTTTTCTTTTCATTTAAACTCTGTGTCTTTGTGTCTTCTAGTGAACAATTTTTCATCAGGATGGGTATGTTTTACTGTGATCTTTCCTGCCTAGTGCTGGCAGGTGACAGACAGCTTTGGAGCTCTTGTGGGAGTGCTTTCTTGGACCAGTTAGAAATTAATGAGGGCTGTTTGCTTAGACTGTCCTGGGAGGGAGACTGTAAAAGCATTTTTAGCTGCTTGTAATTAATGCTCAAAATACATTTCGAAGGGAATAGGAAGTTACCTTGGCTGCAAATGGGATGTGCAAGGGATTACGAAGTTCAATAGCTGAACTGAAGCCCTGTGCAGATGCTGCTACTGCAACTTGTAACCTCATCTTCCCAGGCAGCTTCCTGCCTTTTGCTGTGAGGATGGCAGAGCCATCTCCTGCTGGCTGAGCACTACTGCCTCTGATACTGCTTTATGCTGGGGAACAACCTCCCATTTCTCTTTGAGTTACTCTCAACTTCCCTGGCCAGGGTCTTAGACAGCACGATGTAATTTTAAAGTTGACTCTGCTTTGATGGCACAGCGATGAACATAAACCCTTTCCAAGTTAAGTTTCTGTAAGATTATAATTAATTATCAGCAGTGTCTTGTGTAAAGATCTACTTTGGGTAGAGGCTGGATCCTGTTGTCATTTTTGCTTTTTATCTGTCCTGGACTATAGTTTTCCTTGTATTTAACAGACACCTGGGATAAAAGAAATATAGTTCAAGCTCAGCCTTGGAAGTCCTTTTCATCTTGCCAATTCTCCCATCTGATCCAGTAAATGACAAAATGACCATTTTCACTGATTTGATCTAATACTTTAGTGTGAACTGAGGCTTTTTGTGAAAAGAGATGGATCTGATTACATATAAAAGAAGCAGGTCATAGTTTTTCTTTTTCATTGTGTGGGTTTTGTTGAAACTATGAAAATCAGTTCTTTTGTGATCTCTTCAGTATACAGGTGGGAAGAATTTCCTCTCCCTTCAGGTGTCAGTGAAGTGGTGTTGCCCTTTGTCTTGTGGGCCTGGTCTCATGCTACTTGATTTGAGCCAGGTTTTTGTTACCACAGCTTGGAGTCCAAGACAGAAAACTCAAGCTGACTGGATCAGAAACCATCGGACCTCTTGCCACATCATCAGGGATGCTGATGTCTGTTAGGACAAAGACATGGAGAAGTGAAGTTCAGACCATTCACCAGGCTGGTCTTTGCCTCAGGAAGCCATTTGGAGCCCTTTGTAGTTAGTGAAATGGGCACAGCTCACCTTGCCCACAGGGTGACTGGGATCTGGGGGGGTTCTCCTCTCTGCTGGTGGCTGCAGGTAACCTGCACATCCTGCCCAAATGGTAAAGCCAGCATTGGAGCTTTCTCACATCAGTTAGTCTTTCTTCAGCTTTGCCATGGTCTTCTGCAATCTATCTTGGGGCTGTTTGTGTGGTCTTTGGGACCAGTCCTCTCACCCCCAGCAGAGTGTACTAGCCCTCTCTTGGTCTCTGGTCTCTCTTGGTCTGGTCTACAGGGTCTCAGCCTAATACGTGTGGGCACCTGTGTAGGAGGAAGCCTGTGCCCTCTGGCTCATGCTCTTGCCCTCACAGAGCTGCTCCTGTGTTGTTCTGTCCTGTTCTGCTGTCCAAGGCTGTCTCCTTAGTTAGTTAGATAAGCGTCTTATTTTCAGCAGTGGCCAGTTGCAGCTGCCTTGGGAAAAGGGTAATAATGGAGCAAACATGAAGAATTATCTTGCAGTCTGTAGTGATGTCTGACCAAAGGATTTCATACTTCCCTTGTGGCATGGGAAGCCTGCCCCATGCTTCCATCCGGCAGTGGTACAGTAGGGGAGTAAGTTGGACAAGGGTCACCCCAAGACTGCAGCAGCAGGAAGAAAATTGCAACTAGATAGAAATTTAGAGCCATTTGCAGCTAGGAGGCTGGGAGTTTCAGGTGCTGCGTCATCAGATCCTCCCCACTGAGGCTGTGCTGGAAGTATAGCACCCAAGTGCTATAGTTTTGTATCAAGACCCAAAAAAAGCTTGGCCTCTTGCATTAGTGCTCTAGCACTGGGCAGGGAAGGATCAAACTGTGCCCTTGGTCAGAATATCACATTAGCACTCAATTTATCCCTGCAGATGTCATCATAACACAACGCTTGAGGGACCGGGAGCTGCTCAGAAAGAGAAAAGCGGAAGCCCTGGAGAAAGACTCGACTCAGTGGATTCTGAGGTAAATCTTGCTTTTGGTTTGGAGTTGTTTTCATGGTGCACTTAACCTGAGTCCAGGCATGGCAGCCCAGCCTCTGCATCTTCACCCAAGGACAGAGCCGTCAGTCTTCAGCAGGGAAAGGTGACCTGCAGCCAGTAGCTGGGAGGCAGTGATGAATGAGGGGTGTGGGCTGTGTAGGTGGATGGTTGGCTGGCAAGCAAATCTCAAACATAGTGTGGGGCTGGGGAAAAATTTGGTGCCCAGCCTCTTGCCCACTGGTGCAGACATAGAAGGCTGTCATGCCAGGCTCAGGAGGCGCTTCTGCTGGGATGAACTGGGTCACAGTAACAACAGGGGGCCTGGCAAAGCAGCCTTGGGGCAGGAGGGAAACTCTTCTACCCTACTCCCAAGTTTTCATCCCTATGAAACCGCCTAGCAGGGTGCATAAGAACCAACGGCAAAAGAGAGGTAGAAGAACCAAAAGAGGACGGGGCCGTCAGCCGGAGGTGAAGGCCACCCTGGAGCCAGAACCAACCATAGACCCCCAGCCTGAGCTGCAGAAGGAGGCTGAACAAGTGCACTCTGAGCCAGCGCACTCTGAGCCAGCACCGCCTGAACCAGTGTACCAAGAACAGCTGCCCATGACGACCATCCAGAACCCAGTCAGTGGGATGCAACCAGCAGCAGTGGAAGGGGAGCCAGCAGCCAGGAGCTTGGATCCTGCAGGTCAGTTTCCACAGAGCTCCTGACCCATGGTGGCTCAGGGGGCAGTACAGTGTCTGGAAAACTGTCAGCAAAGGTTGCCCACCCCATCAACAATCATCCCACAGCACCCATGGGTCCCTTCCCCACCAAACATTACTTGGGTAGCTGTGAAAGGGTGGGGGGCATGTTGGGGCTGTGGGGACAGGTAGGGGTCTCCAAGTCACAGGATGAGACAAAAAGTCTACTATTGTCCATAGAGTCACTGAGATGGGGTCTGCGGTCCCCGGCTCTAAATAACAGCTCCTTGTCCTAAGAACACTTCTGTGGCTCTGCCAAGAGCCATGTTAGGGCAGAGATGCTTTGTAGAGAAGGTGCTGTTTCTTGAGGTCAGAGCTGATCAGGGAAAGCCAAAGTCTGGGCACGCTCTCTCCACAGTCCACCCGGTTTCAGGACTGACACTGGGGTGGTGGGGAGGGAAGGGTGGGCACTGGGGCAAGGGGCAGGTGTCTACAGGCAACTACACCTTCAAAACCTGCCAGGACTGAGGCATGGAGGGCACTAAGTTGATCTGAATGGCAGACTGGTGTCTGGGCTCGAGGAATCCATTTACAGCTAACACAGCAGGAGTTGCTCCTACATCTGCCTTGGTAAGTGTAGAGCATATTTACTTGCAGCAGCCAGTGGGCCCAGTATGCAGGTTGCTTCATAACCAGGAAAACCTAGGATGTGCTTCAGAGGAGACGAGCATCCTCTGACCCTCAGTTACTGCATTCCTAGCAATGTCTGTGCAGGGAAGAAAAGGCCTCTTGCTGCAAGGTACACAGTGCCCTCAGTGCCACAGAAAACAGCCATTCTACATCCTGAGGCCTGGGGCTGACTGTGGCACATCACACCAGTCCAGCTTCCAGCCCAGAGGTCTTGAAACGGGCAACCATCAGGGTGGTGTTTATTTGCCTCCTGCCTTTAAACCCACCAGGGCTTTACTCTCCTCAACTCCCCTCCACACCTGAGACTGCCCTTGAAAAGCAGGCAGTCCATCTGGAGCTACCAAATATCACAGGCAGTTACAAGACACTGGCCTTGGGGGCTTTAGCATGGGACAGCAGGAAAACACATGAGAGACCCCAGTATGAAATCATCTTACATGCTTTATAGGTGAAGAGGAGGTGGTGAATCCAACAGAAGAAGAAATACTGGAACTTTTCAATACTCCCCTGGAAAACGACCACCAGGATAACAAATTCAACGCACATGTTCTGTATTAATTTTCTGATTGTTTGTTTTTTCATCTTATTGTGACTCCTGCCTCACAAGCTCTGATAAGTACTACATCAGCTTCTTTCTGGTTAGTTCTAAGGCCCACACTCTCCTTGTCACTCTGCTTTCTATGCCTCTTTCAGGTTCCAGTGTGGTCGAATGTGCAGAGGCAGTCCTTCGGGAGTTGCCTGCTGCCTGTGGCTTATAAGCCCCCTGCTCTCTCTGCAGACAGGCTGTTTCACTCGGGCCCACAGAAGGCTTCATCGTGTCCTGCCACGGTACAGGTTAAGCATACAGTCCAGCATCCATCCTTCTGAAAGCCATTTCTGATTTGCATAGATGTGAGTGGCACAGCAAACCTGAAACCCACTGTGATTTTTAGTCAGATAGAGCTTGCCCACCTTAGGTTTTTCCTGCACCCCTGAAGCCACACATCCCTTTCTGCTTTTGTTTTCAGTCTGAAGGTCTTTATCAAGGTCAGTTTTCCTCTGGAAAAAAGAAAAATAAACTTCTATTACCTAAAGCCTGGAATGTTTTTTGTTTTCAGTTTCTCAGCAGCTTCACTCTGGCCTTGCTGAGCCACCATGTAAGGACAACAAAAGATAGTTAAAAAGAGCTGAGTGCAACAGGCTGACACTGGGATGAATCATGCACTTTTGTCAGGTAAATGCCATTTGGGGCAAAGAGAGGAACTACTCTGCACAGCCACTGTGTTCCTGACTCTCCAGTCATGCACACAGGATTTTTCCTGAAGCCAGGAAGGAACGGGGCATCCTCCCTCTCCTCACGTTTTGGGTCTTTACCTGACTTACCAAGGGCCTGTCTCCCAGAGCACAGGGCTGGCCAGGCCCTGAGGTCACCCTCAATTTGGGGTTTTTTTTTATGGCTCCAGAGATGTTGCTGCTGCTGTCCCAGAGCTCTCCAGGCTCTGCATCACAGCACATGTGACAACTCACTGGTGACACCAGTAAGAGTATCTCCAGTGACAGGATGGACATCCTTGACTCCCACCCCTGCTTTGGTCCCAGGGATGTCACATGAGGGGCAAGTGCTCACTAGCACAGCCTCTCCACGCTGAAATCCTGGGATGACCTCTTCAGATCCACTGCCAGAAGCTCTACAGGCACCTGGTGGGTGTCAAAGCAGAAAGCATCCAGCAGCTCCACAACCAAGCACATGCAGCCCATTCCCTATGGGCAGCTCCTGCAGGGATGGGTCCCTCTGCACAGCTATCCTGGCGCTGTTCTGGCCTCTGCAGACGTACCAGCTAATGCAGGGCTTTGCTCTCCCTTTGAGTAATGGACACTGGTGGGAGCAGAGCAAGATCTCTCACCTTCTGCCATCAACCACCCAAACCTCATCGGTAACCCCAAATAGGTAAGGTACAAGGGGGGGGGGCCTTGTGGAAGCCCTGCAGCGTGGAGGGAGCTTGTGGCTGGCAGGTATGCTGACCCTAGGGCAAGGCACTGGGTGAAGGTAGCTGAGGCTGCTCTGGCCTGAGGTGGAACCAGAGGCAGGAGGTCATGTCATGGTTGAGCACCATCACAAAAGTGGTGCTGGGGTCCTCCTGCAGGTGTGGTGCCCATACCACGTTGCAAGGGGGCTGGGCCGTGACTGCTGCCAGGCAGGCCAGGAGACCCTTCCACCTGGTGGAGACCAGCAAGGGCCAGTGGCTCTTCCCAACTCTCCAATCCTCTGCAGTGCTCACAGGGAGGGGGAATCAGCCACGCTGCCCACTCCACATCTGCAGACGCTTGGACTCTCCTGGTTTCCAAAGCTCCTCAGATTTTGGGGAGAAGAAAATTCTGGGAGGTTTTAGACTCACCTTACAGCTCCCATCCATCACGGAGGGCACAAAAAACCTATATTCCACCTTCTCCAGTGTGAAGTGGAGCTCCAGGAGGTGGTGAAGGTCTGTCAGAGTGAGGTCTCTGTTAACACAGAGTAACACTCACTGCTGAAAACACACATGGGCAGCAGTGCCAATCCTTGCACTGCAGAGCCTGGAGAGCTCCCTGTGGCCAGAGGTGTGCAGAAACCAGAGAATACACTTCTGCCTATCTCTGTGGAGATGCCTTTGGTGTCCAGGAAGTCCTGGAGTCAATCCAGGAACTGCACACTTTTACAGATGCTCTTTAACTAACTGGCTTCTTTGGCAGACAATAAGAAAGGTGTGCCGGCAAACAACCAACCATATCACAAATTAAACAAGGGAAAGATAAAGCCATCCTTATCAGCACTTTCACTCACCATGCACTGCTTCCTTCTCTGATGAGAGGACAGATAACAGAGCTCTTGCTCACAAGGATGGAGTTCAGGTGTGAAACTGGACACATGGGGGTCCACGTGTATCTCTGAGAGGGTCCTACTGCCTGAGTAGAGCTGGGGAGGGGCTGGCAAGGGTGGATATATCTGGAGGAGGGAGGTTGGTGTTCTGCAGATGCAACAAATCACCTTCTCCCTCCTTTCCCTCTTTCCTGAGTCCAAGAGAGCTGTCTTTACCCAAGACCATTAATGAAGTGTCTGACAAAAGAAATTTTCACCCTCTGGTCTGCCATGAAGGGGAAGGCTGGGGGAGGTCAGAGACCTTTAACTGACTGTAGCCTTCTTGATGATGAAGAGCAGGTGATGAGTGCATGGAAATGGATGCTGAACCATGGGGACAGCACAGGGAGCCAGGTAAGTGCCTGACTCAGTGATCCTTGCTGTGCTGCATGGTGACAGGGCTGCCTGAGGCTCTTCCAGGATGCTCTTCCCTGCTTCCTGAGGCACAAAACCAAGGCATGTTGTGGTATGTAGAGGATGTGACCACTGTGGTTGTCTCCTCACTTGTTAGATTCAGCTTGATGTTGGTTAATGTCAGCTGGGCTGGGCTGAACATGCTGCTGTGAGCTCATCTCAGGGACACAGGTCCTGTCCCCAAGTCCTGAAGAGCGTGGCATCCTGAGTGCTGACAGTCACAGCTATGGACAGCTAAGGAGGGGGAACCTGATATCATGTTCAGGAGAACCAGAATCTCCCCTGTCCACTGCCAATTACCTTTGAATATCCTTTCAGGAAACACGCTTCCAGCTCTATGGGAGAAGGGAGGTTGCTTGGTTTGTGCACTGTGGCTTCCCACTTCTCAAATTGCTCTTGTGACACAGGGTCCCTCACACCTGCAGAAAGTCGGGGGTGATTTGTGGCAGCTTGTTGCTCATGGGTGATGTTAAGAGCCAGGAAGGTCTTCTGGTCCTTAGCAGAAGTGAAGTCATAGCTAAGCCTCAGAAGAAAGAAGTGGGCAATAAACTTCGGGACAGAGGCTACCAAAGCTCAGTGAAAAGCCATTCCACCCCACAGGAGCCTGGTCTTGCAGAGATAAGAAAAACTTGCTGATTGATTTACTAATATTGACTTTAAACAGTAAATCCTGGAGACAGCAAATACCCACTCCCTCTTTGGCCACCATTTCCTGTTCAGAGTTTGTTAGCTCTGATTCTTCCCATCCTGTGTTCACCATTTCAATAAATACCCCTCTAAAACTACCAGGGCTGAGACAGACTGGGGCTGTGTGTCCAGCTGGGCTCATCAGTACTCCACCACCTGGTCTGACACTCCTGTTTCACCAGGAAATCATATAACTTTAGAAAAAGTTAAATGAAGAGAAATCTCTGGAGATCTCGAATCCAACCCCTGCTCAAAACATGGCTAGCTCTGGCCAGAATACTTTAGGCTTTCTCCAAACAAGTGTTGATCATTTTCAAGAGGTGAGATCACCTCTCCCTTTTCCCCATCCCAGGGCTGTCCCAATCTCAGCAAAGAAAGTTTCTCCTTCTGTCCCACCAGACTTACCCTCAGCACAGCTTTAGTTCCTTGCCTCTTGCACTTCAGAGAAAACTCCAGCTCCATCTTCTCTTTAACCCTCTTCAGGACTGCAGGTTAGACTCCATGCTCATCTACTCTCCATGAGAACAAACCCAATTCCCTCAGCCTGTCCTTGATGGCCTTAGCTGAGTTCATTCATAAGGATGTTTTTTTGTACTAGGTTACCCTAACTGGACCCGGTATTCCAGATGCGGGTTCAACCACACCTGGCAGGTGGAATGGCCACTTTCCCAAAGCCCCCGTCTGAAATTCAGCCCTTTGGGATGGACTTGGGGTGTTGAGCACGGCTGTGATTGTGTCTCCCTTGCACATCCTGAGGCTTGCACTGACACAACACAGAAAATGCAAAGAAACCAGGATACAGCTTGTGTGGTAAACAACGCGACCTGAGCTTTGTAGCATTAATAATGACCCTTTTTTCAACCCCCTCCTCTACACACCACCTTCCACAGAATTTGTGAAGGCACTGAAACGCTGCTTGAGTGTATTAATCACATGCCCCTGGACGTGGCTGCTTGCTTGCCCAAACTTTGATGGCAGGCTGAAGGTGCAGCTCTCGTGCTGCTCCTCTGTAGCCCAGCACTGCGACCCGTGAAAGAACGAGCCGCCCGTTCGCAGGGATCCAAACCGGCCGCTTTGCAATTCCAGCGGCCCTCCCGGTTCCTCGCTCGCTCCCTCCCGCCCGATCCCGCAGTGCTCCCTAGCGGCAGCAGCGGATTGTTCGGGTTGGAAAGGACCTGAAAAGATCATCTCTTTTCCCCCCAGATCAGGTTGCTCAGAGCCCCGCCCAGCCCGGCCTGGAACACTTCCAGGCATGGGGCATCCACAGCTTCCCTGGGCAGCCTGTTCCAGTGCCTCACCACCCTCACAGTAAAGAATTTCTTCCTAATATCTAAGCTAAATCTACCCTCCTTCACTTTAAAACCATTGACCCTTGTCCTAGCACATGCTCGTACCAAAAGTCCCTCTCCAGCTTTTCTGTAGGCCCCCTTTAGGTACTGGAAGGTGCTATAAGGTCTCCCCAAATACGTAAGACCTTCCAGGATTTAAGCCCGGCTCCTGTTGTGGCAGAGAGGTAATATATCTTGCATAAGCTTAAGTGGGAAGACTTGAAATCATTTCCCCTGCTTGCTCGAAGCGGGCCTTTTTTTTTGTCTTTCCTCTAGAAGGGAAGGGGTGGAGAAAACCACCATGCAGACAAAATACAGAAGACATTACCCAAGAAGGAAAACCTCTTCATATTTTTTTAAACAAATGTTTCCTGCATAAAAGTCCAAGCGCTGAATCATCCCCTGCTTCCTCCATGAAAAAGCCACCAGTATCGAGAGTAATACCCAGACACAGCCTCTCACACCATGCCAGGGTGGCTTGAACTGTCTGTAACTCCAGGGCAACACCATGGATCTTAGCCTATCAGAGTGGTCAGTCACTCACTGCTGCAGGAGTGCAAGCCCATGTTATTCAAGTAAAGGCAATTTTAGAGAAAAGAACAAAAAAAACCCACTAAACCACACCAAAAAAACCCACCCCAAACCAATTTGGGACCCACTGAAAAGCAACATAGATACAGAAATAAACTCAAGTGTACCCAAAGACTGAGAAGGAAGAAATCATCACCATCAACACTATGTGCCTCCTGATGAA